GGGTGTAGGTGTAGTTCGGTTTACCCACACCCTAGTGCGAAATATCCAGCAGTGTCAAACTTGAAAGTTGAATTCAAGTATTCAACTATTCAACTATTCAGGTACTCAATTAGTTAACGGCTGGAATGTCACTAGAATCATCTAATATCGACAGGTATTGTCTGCGAGACTACAAGCATCCCCTATGATGCTACAAGCATTCCCTAAGATGCTACAATTATCACCTAGAATGCTGCAAGCATCACCTACGATGCTACAAGTATTACCTAGAATGCTAAAAGCATCCCATAGCATGCTACAAGCATTTTCTAGGATACTACAGCTTTGGGTTGAGATGCCGCAGACATTATCTAGGATACTACAGCTTTGGGTTGAGATGCTGCAGACATTATCTGGGATGCTACAAGAAGTATGTGAGAAGCTTCAGCTAATGTGCAGCATTGAGTAGGAATAATGGTGTACACAGAGACGTACATGGGTCGCGGCGCTTCGCGTCCCCACGCCGCGACGCTGAAATAAAAGGTGTGTTAGGTAGGGAACGCGCTTCCTCACTGAATATTCGCAGAACACTTGAGAAGTTAAAATTTGAATAGTTGAATACTTGAATAGTTGAATACTTGCATACTTGAATACTTGAATACTTCAATTCAAGTTTCAAATATTACATATATGATCGAACGAAGTCTAGCTGCTTTGTGTACGATGTGTTATTCATGAGATACAGCGCATTGAAAATGGTTTAGTCAAAGCAAGGCAAAAAATAGCTAGAAATTATCGCTGAAATTTCTGATAAATGTCAAAAGTGTTGTCCAACTTGAAGACTGCATCGTAAAAAAAATGGCGCTAGGTCTTGTTCGATGGAGCAAACTCTGCTCAACACAATGCACCATTTTTCAGGGTTTTGAAAACTTTCTCTGAAAGCCCTATTTTTCCTAATTATTACTATAATATTAATTAAATTTTAAAAGAGTGCTTAAAAAATCCTATTAAAATCGGTTGTTGTAAAAACAAAAAAACAAATACACGATTTGGTTTAATGTTCAATGCTCTTTCTTATAGTGTATTCCAAAGTCGAAAATTATGATAAGATTTATCTGTAACTGTTAATTAATAATAATTAATATTTAATTATTCTAACTAATAGTTTTTCAAAATTTTTTTTTATATCAAAACTTCTATATATATAAATATGAGTGTATATTTTTTCATCGTAACAAAACGAAACGCAATGGAAAGCAAAAGAAAAAAGAGGAAAAATATTGAAAGAACAAAATACGTGTTATGATAAACCTATCGATGAAAAAGGTACCTACCTGATGAAAATATCATGCTGCATTGATTCGCGTATACATAGGTAAGTGGAACAAAAACCAAGCAAAATCGTCAACGATAAATAACGAACAAAATTGGTTGTGAGCACACACACAAAAATAAACTTTCGCACATACCAGTATCACTTATTCTGTGAGTATATTTTATTTTTTTTTACGTTATTAGACTATTGATACAATTAGAATTGAATATAAAGAGTAGTTACAAAGAACAGAAACGACGGAATACGAGAATTATGGTGACGAAAGAAATGATTTTCACTCTTAGTAATAGTAGTACAGAACTCATTAATTCGTTATAATTATTCGAGTTTTACGTGTATGTTAATTTATATGTAAATTCAATTATCAGTAATTTTAACTTTAAATTCCAGTTAAATTATTTTTATTTATAACTTAAATAATTTGTACTTAATTTATAATTCATTATATTAAATTATTCGATTTCTTTTTGAATATTTCATTCTAGTCAGACGAACAGCGAAAGAAAAATTGCGTAAAAATACGTCGAAATTTTAATGAAAATAAAATCATAAAAAGCGCACTTGTAAATCTATTCATAATGCGTTTAGTTTTTGATCGGATATATATGTCACAGTTGACATGGGAATTCAGTTGAGTTTGGAATGCATGTAAATAGTATGAGTCACACGATAATTAATGTTTGTGTATTATTGTATTCAACTTTTGTAATTTTAGCGATTCTAAATGATTCGTCGAATTTCTATGATCTATTTGGACTTATTTTAAAATATTTACATATAGAAAGTTTTCATTTTTAACCATTCTTATTTAGTGAATATTAGAATTTTATGAATTTTATTCATCTCCTTATAATTAATCGATTGATGTTCGTTGCTATGGAACATTCAATCAAGAAACACATTCTATGTCTGTTTGTTTGTAATTACATTAATTGTTTTTTCATGTGAATCTCTTACAAAAAAAAATTATTCTATAAAAACAAATAGCTCGAATACTCTCGATTTCGTTTCAACCAATCGTTCAATGTCTCCATGTCCCACTGCTCGAAAAAAGATCTATTCTAAAGAAACAAATAACTCAAATGCTCTCAATTTCGTTTCAACCAATGATTCAATGTCCCCATGTCCCATAGCTCGAAAAAAGCGTCTATTCTATAGAAACGAATAGCTCAAATACTCTCCAATTTTGTTTCAACCAATAATTCAATGTCTCCATGTCCCGCAGCTCGAAAAACATCTATTCTATAGAAAGAAATAGCTCAAGTACTCTCGATTTCGTTTCAACCAATGATTCAATGTCCTCATGTCCCGCAGCTCGAAAAACATCCATTCTATAGAAAGAAATAGCTCAAGTACTCTCGATTTTGTTTCAACCAATCGTTCAACGTCCCCATGTCCCGAGCACCTATATAGAAACTACAATATAAGGAAAATGATGAATAAGATTTACTTTTAGAAGAAAACAATAAATAGAATGACTAATGACTTTTCATCAGCAAGATAACAGTATGAAGATACTTTTTATTGTCCGAGAAGTAATAGTAAATATAAATTTGACAAGAAACAAACAAGTTTTCTTGAATACGTGTTAGAAAAATTTTTAAACAAACAAAGTGAACTAAGTCATTCCAATCTCAACCAGATTCCAAACTCAACTGCAACATATGTATAGAAAACAATAAATTGCAAAAAATAACATTGCAATGAATTTCTTATTTTATATTATGCAAATTTGGGCAATATACATGATAGAGGGTGGGATGTGGATGTGTGTGGAATATAGACGAAAATCCTTGTGCACTTGAAAATAACTATCTGATCTAGATATTGATATTTCTCTGTTCTCTCTGTGTTTAGTCGAAGTTGCAAGTACACCACCACAATATTCTCGTTCGTCATCCGATGCCAATGATCCTAATGTCAATTGGTTTTCTCAACCAGGCACTTTTTGGTGTCCATGGAAAGATGGAAATTGTACAAATACTCTTAGTGTTCCAGGTCAAGGTGTTGTCGAAATCATGCAACTGAAATCGATACCTTTCGAATTACGCCTATCGAATAAGAAAGATGCAAACAATCCTACTGCCTACTCGATAATACTTTCGATCGATGCAAACCAAGTTATATTGCGTACAAGTTCTGGAACATCAGACTCATCAACTGAATCGCTTCATACACTCCAATCGGATGATGGATCTTGGCATACATATTGGATTAGTTTTTCTAAAATTACACTAAAGGCTATATATGGTATCGGTGAAGTTCGTCCATTCTTTACTATTTTAAATAGTGATCTTAAGAAAGATGATTTACAACAAATCAAAGAAATTCAATATATACATGTTAAAATGAATAATAACGATCGAATGCTAATAAATTTAGGTCATTTAAGAGATAAACTTCGTTTTTATATAGGACAGGATCCTGTTATAGAAGAACCACCATTGATTGTTTTACCACAAGAACAATATACACTTGAGCATGAGATTAATCATTCAGCCGTGCTCGTGAATAATTTACAAAAACCATGTCGTCAATTATATCATAGTATTTATAATTTCAAATTAAATACGGATGATTTTCCAGATTTTGTTGATGTCATTGAAAGAAGTATTAGGAATCCGGCAGGATGGTGTCATACAAAATTAATGGAAAAAGCAAATCGTTTTGGTAAACCAAATTTTCTGGTAACTTATTTACGTATTACAGCAGGAAGAGTAGAAGGACATGCACCAGGTCATTCTTATGTCATCGAAATGTGGCCACCGGGTCATGGTAGTCCTATACATAAACATGGCAATGCGTATTCTATTATTCGAGTACTTCGTGGTCGAATATTGGTCAAACTCTATCCACAGTTAATACTGAATACTAGTCTTTATAAGCCGATCGAAACAATATTCGAAGAAGGTCAAGTAACATGGATGTTACCAAAATTAAATCAAATACATCAACTTCAAAATATTGATGTACATGGCAAAACTGCTATTACCATTCAATGTTATAAATATGGACGAGAAGATCGAGAACATTATGAATACTTTGATTATATAGCGAATGATGGAAAAAGCATCGGTCATTTTGATCCAAAATCTGATATGGACTATAATGAATTCAAAGTATTAATGAAACAAGAACGACAAAACATATTTTAGGCTTAGGCATGAGAACTGTATTTCGATTTCGTATCTGAACTGCTAATATTACCTAATTATTTAATAAGACAAGTCATTTTCTCTCATATTTTGTCTTCTATTCATTGACTTCTACCGTTCTTCTTCTCTTTAATTAATAAAGATGAACAGGCTTTCTCAATTCTTGTTTTGACTCATACAACAAGTAACAATTATTCTTTGCAATGGAGCATTTGAGTTACTCATAACTTACTCTATGTTTTATGAATTTCTTTTTTTTTACTATCAATTGTATTTTGATGCGGTGATTCAAAAACTTGATGCACTTTTTGATTTCGAGCCTCAACTACAGAAATATTAAAGTATTCATGCAATACTGATAAATATGTTGTTCTATGAATTTGAATAAGACCATATAGCATAAAATGCAGGTACAAATTTATAATGAAATATTCCATCATATTGTATCAAAATTTTCTATAGAATAATCGATTCTTATCATGAAACAAAAAATGTTCACATATGACTGATATCTCAAAATGAATGGTTAGTTTTCCTCTATCGTTTTTTTATTCTTTGGTACGCTTATTTCAAAAATGAAATATACAGCAAGACACAGCATAACAAGCTCTCGAGCTTAGGTTAATAGCGACATTTTATACATTGCATCGTTTGTTTTCGAAATAGTCGAAATTTTAGGCGAGAAATTTTCGATGTAAATGAGTGTAAGCGAGTGTGATTGAAAATATTTCCGTTTAGATTTAAGCTCTTTCTATACATCCATCAAGAGTGTTAGTATAAGTATGAGTGTAATTGATGAGCAAAAGATGATCCACACTATAGCCCATCGGATTCGAGTCCGTAAATCTTGATCGATCAGATCCGATTTGAAAAAAACTTATCTGCGTATAATCATATTTTTGTATTTACTTTAAATTTTTGCTCGTTTTATTCAAAGAACCGTAAATTTATTTATAAAAAAATAGAAACAGAAACACGCAGGTGAAGTTAGGACTAGATTCGAGTAATTCTAGCCTATATTCACTCAGAAAGTGCTCCAGGTGTTCCCATGTCAAAAAAATTTTAATCGATTACTAATGTCATTGCTCTATCTCAATTATGAAACAATTTATATAACAGTTTCTAGATTACCTCCTTCGTCGAATTTTAGCTTAGTGGTAACTTCATGGTTATTAAACACGAGGAACCCAAAAAAATTATGAAAAATTGGGGTTTCATGTTCAAATCTTGAGAAAAACGCTTATCTTCGATGTATATGATTAAAATCGATTATCAAGCAATAATCGATTCGAATTGCAACGGTACCCATGCAAAAAAAATTAGAACAATATAATTTCGATTGATTCTCTTAGATATAATCGATTTTTTCCATCTTCCCAGGTCGAACAAGCACGATCGTATACGGAGAGAAATACCATCGTTTACGATTTTCGTACACGAAGTCCGTATATGGTCTCCGTTTTGTTCCGTATTTCTCTTCGTATACGAACTCCGTAAACCTCGTCCTGGGTTTTTTTTACACAGATTCCCATTTGGATGGAGTGTGAGTATTGTTATAGGTGTGAGTGGGTGGGTATGTGGTATGAGTGAAGCGAAGACCTATGCATACAACCACACCCACCCTTCTTGCACAACAAATATGTAAATGGCTGTTTTCATTTGTGCAGAAAAATTCCATAAGAAAATGGATGATGACGAAGTTTGTTGACTATCGGCAGTGAGTGTTTTCTAACTTCTAAGAAAAGCAGAAAAAAGTCAACAGTCAGATAAAATAATGCAGAATTAGCAAATACTGACAATCATACAACGATATTGTTGACTCTTTCATACAAGCAAATTGTTAAACATTATTGTCCAAAGTAGCTGATAATATTACTCATGCATTTTATGAAGTATTCTCTACACTAAAAAAACGATATAGATGAATTTTATACGAAACTTTCGGAGTTTTATATATCTGAAGATAAGTGATCATCAAGGTTTCGAGCAACAGCAACAGCTGTGTGTATATGAAGAGAAAACTTGCCAAGAATTTCGTACAAATATGGTTTTGAATTTTTGAAAATAAGTTTGGTTCATTTTTTTCAAATGATCAAAAATGCTTTTCACATAAGGTGTGGGTGTCGGTCTGAGTCTGAAAGAAGTAAAAAACCACATGAACGCACACACACACACACCCACAAACATAGGCAATATTCTTTCACTATCGTTAATGTATGATGACGAAATCGTGAACTATAAATATTTGCATTGGAGAAAATAAGTTCCATTGTGTTAAAATTATGTAAATCATATTTTTGCTTTCTAACAACTACAATAAATTGTACAGCAGTGTTTCTGATAGATTCTTCATACATTGGAATTCATCACAATTACTGATAAGATCTAATGGAATTGAATTTTCTTCTCTCAAAAGAAGAGTAGAAAATGAATTCGCATCAAGATAATTAATCAAGCGTATTCTCCTTGCTGACGATGTTTGTTACACAAATAACAAAATAAAACGAAGATGATGTATTCCATTTCCCTTTTAAAACAAAGAATAATAAAAGTATGTTAGATTTTTTCTCTACATGAGGTATCGTTATCAACCTTATCTTGTCAATAGCATGATGAAAGAAGGGGAAAAATACGTCGGTCTACACATTATTTTATGCAAAGACAAGAGAAAAAAAATATCCACGTGAAACATGTGAAGCGTTGATGGAGGTATATGCTGTTTGTCACAATGACAGCAATACTTCACTGGGAAAAATGTTTCTTTCCGGAGACATCAATTCTTACAAAATTGTTTCACAATTTACAAAATCTTCAAACGCTATCATTTTTAATATTAAGCATCTCAACACGAGCAGAGAGTGTGGGTGTGGGTATAAGAGAGAACTACATCCACACCTTAAAATGAATATAGGACGACTGGTGTGTGAAGGATAAAATCAGAGAGTAAACAGCGAAATCTTTAGTTTGTCAAGTTTGATTGGCGTTAGATAAAAAGAATAACGAAACAATAAAATAAATTTTTTTTTATTACCTATTAATAACCGTAGACAATCATTGATTTGTATCCGGAATCGATTTTGTATCTGAATTAATCGCTCACATTTGAATTTCGTTTGATTCAGATAAATTTCTGTAAAAATTTGATGATATTTCTCTTTCAAAAATAGTCAATTCTCAATTGAAACTTGCTTGAATTCTAAAAATCAACACATATTCAGTATTCAAAAAACTATATTTATGAATACAATTGAATAATAAAACTAATTCATTTTGCCTTCAGAAATTAAAAAAACAACAGAGGAGTAGAGTTTTAAATCAGTAGTGTTTACCTCGATTTCATCAGTTGAATGATCATATTCATCGACAATACTTTTCATCAATTTCAATATAGCTGGATGAATTGATAACCAAAAAAAGAGTTTGGATCAAAAATGATTGTCCCTATGTTTAACATATGATATTATAATTAATTAGTTCAATAGAAAATCAATTGATTACCAAGTTGATTACATTTATTGCCTGGTTCATGGTTTGGATGTAAATGGAGAGAAGAATTGGACCTTCAGCAATTTTTAAAAAAATGTGTTTTACGATATATACCAACAGCTAAATCTGAAGAATAATAATATAAAATTGTACATTTTCTTTCTAAATTTTCTGATGATTTCGCTGTTTGTTTTTTGATTTTAATGAGTTTTGTTTATAGGTCTTAATGATATTGAGATACTAATCATACGAATATAGAATAGTTTATGTATCTGAAGATTTTCTCGTTGATATCGTTACAGTCTGTTTCTTTTTTTCATATTTTGTTTCGTGAAGTAGTTTAAATAGATGAAAAAACAAATGCTAAAATATTAAAATTGGAAATAAGAATTACAAAAAAAGGGTCGGTTCTCGCAAGCAGTTTATTTCAAATGCCTTATCCTAAGGCATACTTGTGAACCGTAGAAAGATTCACAAATTTTCGAAGTAGAATATAATTGGTCATTTTCTTTTTTTTTGTACTTTTTAGTATTTTATAATTTTTTTTTTTATTAACATCGTTAAATATGGAAAGTAGCTGACTCGACAGCTGCCGACCCCATCCATGACAGAACATTAGATCTATATAGAATGAAATATTTTCATGTGTTGTAATTACAGAAGTAAGAATGAGAACAGAAACGGAAAACAATAAAGTTAACATAAGAAATTTCAAAATCCTGTTTTACGTTATGTAATTCGAGATACTTTTGTCAAATCTACAGCTGATATGGATGATTCATGAAATAAGTTCTACAAAGAATCCACTGATGCACGTGTTGATGTCGTCCTATCATTGGATGCAGTGAAAAAAATGTTTGCACATAACAATTAAGTAGCACTTACACTGGTTTTACTTCGTATTTTCGAGGAAAAATGTACCTTTGATCACCAAAAAATTATACTTATGATTACCCTTTTTTTTTCAAGTTGTGATTTTTCATATTGGATGTGGGTGTGGATGCCAGGTGTAGGTGTGTGGCTATGGGTGTGGGTGGATGTGCGTCTTCTTTCCATCTACACTTTACACTCACACACCCATACCCACATCCAAAAACACTAGAAAAATTGCACTTGGAATCTAAACATGAATATCAACTAAGTTTTGATACATTAAAGGAGAAGTTTCTTGATGTGTTCAAAAATCAAATTCGGTCGTTGATTCTAATTGCGAACAATACTGCAGTAGAATTTTTCAATTTCCACAGATTATACAGTCTAGTGAGCAACTTTATTCGTCTTGAAATATTTCAGTATCACATCCGTTCCAATTTTCGATCTGACTCACGCTTTTCAAATGTTGAACAACTACCGAACTCAAATAATTCTATCTTCACTTTACTACGATCGCATGCATTGGGCATCACCTCTGACCAATGGCCACCACTAAATTTTCATTTTAATGAAACGGTTACCTTGGAGCAACTACTAAACTGCAGTTCGCTTGTCATCTTCACAGTCAACTTCCATAGAAC